GTGGGACTTGGGGAGGGGCGGGACCTCAGTGGGGTATAATGCCATAGAGAGCACCTTCCAAAGCAGCCATTTTTTCACAAGGAAAATGATCTCTTTTTCCTGGAGATTGGTTGTAATTCTGTGGAATCTCCAGCCACCACCTGGAGACTGGCAATCCTACTCCCAGTTTAGTTACCACTTCCCCATTTCACAGGGGAAGAGCTGTTTCACAAAAGGTGATCCTATTTTAGATTAGCCCTATATCTAGCATAAACTTAGACTTTATACTATACAGTCTAGTGCTTGATGTCCTACCAACATATCTAGGTTGTGTATAAGCCTTGAGATGGGCATGAACCAGGAAAATGCAGTTCAGTTCATGGTTCTTAGTGCACCCACGAACTGAACCACAAACTGAACACAGACAAAACCCCTCTCATACAAACTGAACCAGTTTGGAAATTTCATGATGTGGTAGAATGGTCCCCCAACATGGTAGAGACACTAAGTTCATTGTGGATCTCCGGCTGATTCTCTTCTACCTGCCCTCCAAGTTTGGTGAGGATTGAATTTATGGGGTCCAAGTTACGCTCCCCCCCCCAAAAAAAAAATAAGGTGCCCCAGGAAAGTGCTTTCTGGGGAGAAGAAATGCATGTTCAGGAGGTTGAGGAGTGTATTGAACAGCACCCACCCCCACCCCCAGCATGATAGAGATAGCTGACACTAGTCTACCCACCTTCCAAATTTGGTAAGGATTGGATTTACAGGGTCCGAGCAGGCCCGTAGCCTGCGTGGGGCCCTGGGGGCCGCCCCCTGCGTATTTCACGGGCCCCCTCCCCCATTCTCTCCTCTCCTCCCCCTCCCCGGAGTCAGAGCAGAGGGAGCACTCATAAGGGAAGTTAGTTAGACGGTAGACCTCTGCTCTGCCTGCCTCCGCTGCTCCGCCCCTCCCAGCAAGGCGGGGTTATCCGCTCCGCCTCTGCTCCGACCTGACCTGCCCACGCACGCACGCAGCACTTCGCGCCTAAAAACGACTGCAGTGCAGCACGTGTCGTCGGTCGGACTAAAAATTCAAAAGAGGGAAGCCAGAGACCGCCCCGACCGCTCGCCCCGCCGCCTGTTCTCCGCCCGAAGCCTCCTTCCCCCCGCTCCGGAGCACAACGCGGCTCAGCCTAGGCGGCGTGTCTGTCCCGCAGGCGGCTCTGACAGGCCCAGCGACAGCCGGTGTGGGGCGCCTAGACGGCCGCAGCAGACGAGCAGCAGCCGTCCCCGCCGCCTGAGGGGCCGTGAAGGCGACTTGCCATGCCGGGCCGCTGGCGTCTTGCCTAGGTCGCGTTCCCTCCCTCCCCCCCCCGGCCCAAGCCCGGCTCGGCGCGCTCGGAGGACCAGGTACTCCCGCTTCGTCGCGTTGCGTTTCCCCTCCCCCAGGCCCTCTACTGCGCCCTCCTCCCCCTCCCCGGCTAGCATTTATCCCCCCCTGGCCGTCTCCCATGCGCCAAGGCAGGCAAGGCGTGCGCGCTGGCAAAAGCTCATGAAGGATCGGGTTGGGGGGGAATGAGAACGCCCCCTTCGCCCTAGTATTCGCCCCTCTCTCACCAACCCAAAGAGATTAGTCTCAAGCAATGCTCCCTCTAAGCTGTGGAGTCTTGTGAGCAAAAATTCTACTTTGTGAGCTGCTGGCATTGAAGTTGAGAGCGAGCGATTTGGCTGCTGCAGGAATTCGTTTGGTCTGGAGCCCTCCCTTTCTTGCCGGGAGACGCTGGGCTGCGAGCGTGCGGGCGGGTGTGCAGGCCGGCTCTTCAAAGGCTGCTTCTGGCGCGGCACCAGCCAGCGGGCCGCATGGGGAGGCCGCTCCGGGTGCGGCAGGTACTCGACTGCCGCAATGTTTTTCTTTTCTTGGTTGAGAGGGGGAAGACCTGTAAAACTAGGGGCAGATTCTGGTTGACTTCATCCCAATCTGACAAATGAGATTATTGTATTGGTTGGTCTGCGGATTGGGGCCTTTAAGAAACAGACCGGAGGGAGAGAGAGAAAGAGCGAGCGAGCGTCTGAACAGGAAACAGGCAGTGCAAACACCAAACGTCGTTGCCGAGATAGACTCACAAGTGGGACTTTTTCAGCGTGATGTGGTTGAAGGGTGTGTGGTGTCACTTCCGGGTGACGTGTGCGTGGCGCATGCGCACGCTTTGCGTGCGCGCACACACACTCTGCCCTCCCCCATTTTTCCAGGGCCCCCTCACTACGAGGGCTTTAGCTACGGCCCTGGGTCCAAGTTACATCCCCCAAAGAAAGTGGATCATACTCCATTGTTTCCAATGGAGGGGGGGACAGCAAAAAAAGCAAAGGCTGAAGCCCAGCAGAACAGAAACAAAATCAAAGTCCCCAGAATCTCTCCAGCAGAAACTGAAGGTGATGGGTATTTTTGCCAACTCAGCAGAACCAGGACAACGTGTCCTGAGACCACCTGAGACCCAAACCCAAACCAGTATGCAGTGAAATATGTAGACATGGTAGCTCCAAGACCTAGGATGTATGTAGATGTGGTGGCTCCAAGCTTGAAGCCCTGGTTGGTTGAAGCCCTGAGAAGGGACTAGACATGATAGGTCAAAACCCCTGACAAGGAAGTAGATGTGGTGGCTCAGAGCCCTGAGAAGGAAGTAGAATTGGTGGCTTGAAAGCCCTGAGACATAAGTAGATAAGGTTGCAAGGCC